ATGTGGGGGCGTGTTAGAACGAGCCGTTTTAGGTAGGCGTGGTTGACTCTTAACTTTTATAAAGAATATCTCTTTGGATTTGAGACTTTAGTCTTTGCAACTTTACAGATCTTCTTTATGCACCAAGAGCTTGTAACACTCCAAAGAGAAAGGAAAAATTGAAATCGCATCATATGACCCCTTTAACTTCAAACCGTTGCTTCTGGCTAAAATACTTAATTATGGGTTATGGACTGGTATATTATGGCCAGAAGTGACGGTTTAAAGTTAAAACACCTTAATGATGGATTTATATCTTACAAAGCAGCTTTTCAATTCACAAGATGTTAATTGATGGACTGGAGTGGTGTGGATTACTTGTAGATTATTGTGATGTTTTTATCAGCTGTTTGGACTCTCATTCTGACGGCACCCATTCACTTCAGAGCATCCATTGGTGAGCAAGTGATGGAATGTTACATTTTTCCAAATCTGTTCTGATGAAGAAACAAACTCATCTCCATCTTGGATGTACATTTCCAGTCAATTTGAATTATTGGATGAACTATTCCTTTAAAACAGATGCAAAGAAATCTTTGCAAGTACTTTCACTAACCTTAACTCTTCTGTTAATATTGAGGAACTGACAGGTCTTGTCATAGAGCTGCTCGAGATCTTCTCTGTCCCAGTAGAAATCAGGTGTGATCAGTAAGTCAGAGCTGAGGTTTATGCAGTGCCTGTAAAAGTTTAAAAAGACTGTGAGAATTAAACAGAGCGGCAGGTTATCTCATGCAAAATAAACCAAATAAAGTGATACAAAATCAACCTGACCTGAGGGAAAAGAGTTCCCCTATCTTCTGCATAACTTCAGCCCTAGACAGTTTCACTCTCTGTCCAGACTTCAGCATCTGTTAAAAAGGTTTATGAATATAATTACAACATTTCAAACAGAAGTATATTTGCAGTTCCAGAAAAAACAGAACAGCTGTTCACATCTGTGCTTTTTAATATACAGAACAATTTTAACTAGCAAAAAGCAACAAATGCTGGTATTACCTATGAAAGAGTACATAAGTGGATCTACCTCAGGAATTGACTGGATGGACTCAACAAAGTTGTCAAGAGAGACCTCCCATATTGCCAGTTTTACTGAAATCATGCAAGTTTAAAGCAGCGTCATCAATGTTTCTACAATTTATGAATGCTTAATAAAAATGCAAACATTACCCCACCTGACAGAGATAAAGCATTGGAAAATGCAAACTTCTCCAGAACAACCTGATCATAATCCATCTCTCCATTAAACAAGAAAATTCCACGATGGAGCTTTGAATTACCCCTAAACCAACAAATAAATAAAATATGGAAAAAATATTTCAACTTTCAGTAGGCATTATATGATTTGAATATATGTTGCATTAAGAAATGAAGGACTTGTTACTCACTCTCCTACTGTATAAGTGATCTCTTCATTTTCCCAGTGGACCAGAGCGACTTCATAGGGTTGAATTTCATGCTGTTCCAATATCCTCATCACTGTCTTTATCTGAGAATAAACATGAGTTTAACGGAGTATACACATGCATATAAACACACACACCTATATATATATATACAGTGGGGCAAAAAAGTATTTAGTCAGCCACCAATTGTGCAAGTTCTCCCACTTAAAAAGATGAGAGAGGCCTGTAATTTTCATCATAGGTATACCTCAACTATGAGAGACAAAATGAGAAAAAAAAATCCAGAAAATCACATTGTAGGATTTTTAAAGAATTAATTGGTAAATTCCTCGGTAAAATAAGTATTTGGTCACCTACAAACAAGCAAGATTTCTGGCTCTCACAGACCTGTAACTTCTTCTTTAAGAGGCTCCTCTGTCCTCCACTCGTTGCCTGTATTAATGGCATCTGTTTGAACTCGTTATCAGTATAAAAGACACCTGTCCACAACCTCAAACAGTCACACTCCAAACTCCACTATGGCCAAGACCAAAGAGCTGTCAAAGGACACCAGAAACAAAATTGTAGATATATATATATATATATATATATATATATATATATATATATATATATATAATAGAAAAAATTTAAATAAAAAATTAAACCCTTCTAAATCCTGTTAAACAGATCTACTTTTTTTAAAGAATGTCATTAAAGCATTATATATTTGATAAAGATTCAAGCCATTCTTCAACAAAGTTTTAAGTGTAATATTTTCTATCCCTATTTCTTTAAATGCTCTTTCATTATCATGAGCAGAACAACGTAATAGTGCATGCTCTACTGTTTCTGGTAATCCACACAGACTACAGTTCCCAGACTCATGCTTTTTTATGAATTTTATTTTGAACCTATTGTTTTATTTGGTAAATGGCGTGTAAAACACATGTAAATTTAAGTTTGTTACGTTTGTTCTCTTAAATATGTTAAGAGATAAACTATTTTATCTATCTACCTTTGTACATTGTGCCAGCTTATAGAGTGATGCATTCTTATTATTTTTTCTTCACAAAGACAATTGTTGCCTTTAATTGCTGTACTGTGTGTGTACTGCTACAGCCATAAATCATTTGATTTGTGTCAGGATCAATAAAATGCGAAAACATCCACAGGACCTGTCAACAAGGACTAATTTAATCAGTCAACTAATCCAATTGTGATTTATGTCTTATGCCACTTTCAGTATATCTTTTATGATCATCTATGCACGTTCATTCATAACCAAATTGCATTGCATTTTATTACTATAAATATTTATATTCATTGTGCCTAGCTAAATATGTTCAAATAACATATTGCTAACATACCCATTAAGTTATTCAAAATGTCCACTTTTTTAAATGTTTGATCAACTTTTCAGAACATTCTAAAACATGTAGTTACATTTTTAAAAAGCCTGAAGTATTTAGGATATAAAAAAAAAAGTTAAATGAATGATGTATAAAGTTTTTGCGCTAACATTTTGAGAACATTATTAAAACCAGACCCAGAAACCCTTTGAACGGATGTTCTGATGTTATTGGAAGAATGTTCGTTTGAACTTTGAAGAACCTTGCCATTAGCCACAGTTCTGAGAACGTTCCCTGTTAGCTGTGAATGACTGTTTCTGTTGCTATGGATACATCAGGTTCTATCTGTCAGCATTCAGGTTTGACTGACAGCGGCTTGGCGATGGAGGAGTCTGTAATCCAGCAGCACCTCACACACTATAAGCAGGCCACTGAGACGGCGCGTGAGGAGCTGGCCGTCCTGCAGACCAAATACAACAAACTCCAATCACAGGTTCCTATATTCACTGGTCAGTTGTGGTGTTGGGAATGCACATTCTCTACGTGAAATAACTTATTTCCTTTTAACAGCTCTTGGAAAGCCAATCCAAAGTTGCATCTCAGGAAGAGACTATGAAGAACTTAAAGGATGCTGCAGATCGGCATAAAGAGAAAGAGGCGAGTCAGGAGTCTCTCATCAGCTCGCTCAGAGAACGCAACTACAGCACAGAGCAAGAGATGCTCTCCATCACCTCCTCCAAAAGCTTCATGGACATGAGAATACAGACACTTACAAAAGAGAATGAGGAGATCAAGGGGAAAATAATGGAACTTGATATCAAGTCAAAGTGAGCATTTACTTTGGACACAACTAGAATATATAGAATATATACATAAGAAAGTATAAATTGTTCAAATGTAATTTAAATGTGGAATATAACCCTAACACTACATATACATGTATAAATTGTGCATATGTTGATGTATAATTAACACGTCTATTTCTTCTATCATCACATATTTGCAGACAGTATTTTGCAGAGTGCAACAAGGCAAAACAGGAAGCCGCTGAGACCCAGAGAAGATCTGATGAGTTTATATCGGCTTTAGCAAACAAAGTCTCTGTAAATGTGGCAGGAAAGGCAGATCCTATGGATTATATCATATCCGTGGTGAGTGTGTTCACATATGCTTTCAACCCATATTCTTCTGATCTCTAACATGTCTCTCTATGATAAGGTGGACGCCTGCTTGAAGGACAGAGAGCACCTGAAGAACTGCATTTGTGCTTTAGAGGAGAGTGTGAAGTTGTACGAGGTGGAGTGTAAAGCCAGCAGAGAAACAGTCAAGAGACTGGCGACTGATGTAGAACATGAACAGTCGCTCTCAGCCTCCAGAGTGAATGAGCTGAACTCTAGCAGACAGGTATCTTACAGATCAATAATGCAATTAAACAACACTTTAGAAATCAACAAGCAACAAGTATCGTATAGGGTAAAACCTGTGCAGAACATGCCTGGGTTATATTTCACTTCAAAACCAGAAGAAATCAATATATTTTGCATAAAGGAAAAAAAGCTTCTTTTTATTTCCTGTAAAGCAAAATCATAAATAACACAGCCCTGCATAAGCATTCTGATGATTTACAAAGAAAGGCCTAATAATAATTTGATGATGCTGAGTTCAAAAATATTAATAAGAACGTTCCATTGTGTATAGTTTTTACTCAAAATAAGAATGATTTTTCAATGTATATATATTTGTATCAGCTTTAATGCACTTCATCAAAATAAAAGCAGTCAAATGTCAAAAGTTTAGTTTGTAATGACAAAAAAGTATACCGTATATTTCCAAATGTAAATTAATTATTGCAGATTTCCCAATTTATGCCCAATTTTGTCAATCGGAAGTAAAATAAAAAATAGTGCAGAAATGGAAAATAATTGTTACAGATTTACAAATTGAGTTAAAAAAAACTGTACTGTAAAAATAGTGCCGTTTTCAAATGTCTAGTTTTGAAATGTTTATGTTTCATTAAAAACTTAATTAAAAACGAACAACTGCACAATTTCAATGAATTTGAATTTGAAAGGTTTAATCAAAATGTAAACGCTTGAATTTTATTATATATTTTTTAATATTCTTATATTTTTTAATTTTATTATTATATATAAAACATACCTTTGAATGTAAAAACAAAATGAGAAAGTATCATTCAGAATCATTCATACTTGTGAAAATGGGCAGAGGACTGAACAAATACTGTAGTTGTCACCCGACTTGTGGCAGTTTTTCTGATGATTCTGGGATAATACAAGACTTCTTCACCTTACAAATGGTTATCAAAAGCAAAAATGCTACGAAATGCATCATATTTTGTGAGAAAGTGTGACGTGCTTGAGCAAAACAGCCACTATTTTTTGGAAACAGCAGCCCAAAATTTGTAAGAAACAAGTACTGGATTTCATTCAGCAAATATGATGAATAGTGGTGTAACAAATCAGCAATATACTGTATTTTTGTCAGGAATTGGATATAATCTCCCTAAAGAAACTAAGTTTGGAGAGAGAGAGCCAGAGCCTTAAAACCTCCCTGCAGGAGTCTGAACTGGCGCTGGTGTCCGCACAGCAGCGCTGCCGCCACTATGAGAATCTCTCTCAAGATCTGCAAAATAAACTCCACAGCTGCCAGAGTGAAGCTCAGGCGTCTCACAGCCACCATGAGGCCTTCATGAAGAATGTGGAAGCTCTGCTGGATGATCAGTCTCTTCCCGTTCAACACACAGAAAGTGACATATTGAAGGCACTTACGGCCCTTTGCAGCAGAGAGAAAGGTGCACAAAAGGTAACGTTTGCATCTCGTATTTTTATAGCGTAGATTACGTTCTTACTCAACTAATGTGCTTTCTGTGTGCTCTAGTCTCAGGTGGAGATGGAGGGCAGGCTGGCGGAGGTGGAAGAGCAGTTGTCCAGCCACAAACGGCATCAGAGCAGTTCAGAACGGAGAGAACAGGAGCTGCTGGACAGAATCAAGAGTCTGGAGGACGAGCTGCTGACGGCTGGAGTCTGGAAAGATGGAATGAACCAGGACAAACGGCATGTGAGGAAGTGGATTTATACTGCCAAAACCTGTTACTGTATAAAACTATTCACATTGTCGAACTTTTCTGGCCACTGTGTATCATTTGGAATTAGAACATGATTCAAATGTATCATAAATGTCCTAAAATGACCCCTCAGTAATGTCATTGGCCTTCTCTCTCTGTAGTACCTGCGGTTTGTGGAGCAGCTCTCAGAGAAGCTGAAAGTGGATCGTGTCGCTGCAGATCTGGGATTTGATATGAGACTCGAGGCCATTCTTACACGAGCTGAACAGCTGAGCAGACAGGAAGGGACGGCTTTACTGGAGATCAAGACACAAATCTACAGCCTTCAGAGAAAGGTGCTGACATGTCAAATAATGAACTTTAACTATTATTTAGTTCAATGTTTTGGTGCATAACCTTTCCAAATGTACAATAATTGTCACAGATTTACAAATGAATGCCCAATTTTATCATAATTTATCTTTAAAAATGTTTCAACAATAGTCAAATAGTGCAGAAGTGAAAAATAATTATTACAGTTTTACAAACGAATGCCCACTTTTGTCAGATTTTATATATTAAAATATTTTAATGTTTTATTAAAAATGTAAAAAATAAGTGGATTTATACTGCCAAAACCTGTTACTGTATAAAACTATTCACATTGTCGAACTTTTCTGGCCACTGTGTATCATTTGGAATTAGAACATGATTCAAATGTATCATAAATGTCCTAAAATGACCCCTCAGTAATGTCATTGGCCTTCTCTCTCTGTAGTACCTGCGGTTTGTGGAGCAGCTCTCAGAGAAGCTGAAAGTGGATCGTGTCGCTGCAGATCTGGGATTTGATATGAGACTCGAGGCCATTCTTACACGAGCTGAACAGCTGAGCAGACAGGAAGGGACGGCTTTACTGGAGATCAAGACACAAATCTACAGCCTTCAGAGAAAGGTGCTGACATGTCAAATAATGAACTTTAACTATTATTTAGTTCAATGTTTTGGTGCATAACCTTTCCAAATGTACAATAATTGTCACAGATTTACAAATGAATGCCCAATTTGATCATAATTTATCTTTAAAAATGTTTCAACAATAGTCAAATAGTGCAGAAGTGAAAAATAATTAATTACAGTTTTACAAACGAATGCCCACTTTTGTCAGATTTTATATATAAAAATATTTTAATGTTTTATTAAAAATGTAAAATAAAAGAAGTTCAGAAATTCAAACTAATTGTTACAGATTTACAAATGAATGCACAATTTAATCAGATTTTACACATTTCTTTTGACAAATTTCAGATTTATTATTTTTATTCATATTACAGATTTTACAAATTTCTTGAATTTTACTGACAAAATATTTTAATGCAAATTTACAGAAAATAGTAAAAATAGTAAAATAAAAATAGTGCAGAAATGTAAAATAATTGTTACAGATTTACAAATTAATGGCCAATTTTGTCAGATTTAAAACAAAATTTCCAGAATTTATCTTAAAAATGTTTTTAAAATTGTGCAGAAATGTAAAATAATTGTTACAGATTTACAAATTAACGGCCAATTCTGTCCGATTTTTAATACATATTTCCAGGATTTATTTTAAAAATGTTTTTCAAAAATGGCAAAATAAAAATGAAAAAGTGCAGTTTTTAAATCGAGTTTTGTAATGTTAATAATTGATTTAAAAACATAATTTAAAACGAACTAAACAAACACATTTAATTTAATTTTAAACAACTAAACGATTAATCAAAAACAAAAATTCTTCAAATGTATTAGATATTTATATTTTCTTGTACTTTTCATTTATTTATTATACTTCTAATTTATTTGAAATGTATTCAATGTAAAACCAGTGTAAAAATACAACAACAACAAAAAATCAATATAAAATCAAAATGAAAATCTTAAATATAAACCATACAACAATCCTAGCCATCAAACCACGATTACATTACATTATTTGATTAGCTGGTTATCATTTCCATCAATGGCTGCAGCTTAAAGAACACAAGGAGCGTTCAGAAAGTAAAGAGCTTCACCTGGAGCTGCTGAGGAGGAAGATGGTCCAGCTGGAGGAGGAGAAGAGGAGCCGCTCAGCTCTGGCGGTGGAGAAAGATGATGCTGCTCTGGCCTGTAAGAAGCTCCAGAAGCGTGTGGATCGACTGCAGGCGGAGCTGAGCACCTTACGCTTCTCCAACACCGAGCTGAAAGCCCAGCTGTCCCATACCAATGAGCTCAAGGTACAGGGACGAGGCCTGGCCCACAGACCCTCACCAAACAGAGTAATTTCAGCATAAAATACCAAAACAAAGACCATTTTTAAATTTAAAAACACAAATGTGACTCTAAATATATACCATTTTTACTGTATATGGTTCTTGAGTTGACAATAAGGTTCTATGGATAATAAAATAGATTTTTTAGATCAGTGTTTTGGTTTCTGGATCCTTTAAGGCATATAGATGATTTGTGTAGCTTGTAGAGCATCCAATTAGCAACAATAAGGTCATGAACTGGAGTCCCAGGGAACATCCATACTGGTAAAATATAGTGAATACAATGCAAGTTGCTTTGGATTAAAGCACCTGCCAAATGCATGAACGTAAATGGTCCTAATATCGACCCTTTATGTTTAGTGTTGCAATAAAAGATTGAGTTTGACATTTTGATTAAGAATTACAAGGTGACTTGTAAATGACTTGTTCACAATAAGATCAATAACATGCATTTAGAAAATAGGGTTAATTTTTATTTCATGCCTTCTTTAATAGTGCTGCTTCACATGTAGAGTGTGGCGATGCTTGTAAATGCTTAGTTTCTGCTGTCTTTGGTGCAACAAGATCAAAGTGATGGAACAAAACCAAACCATAGAAGAGCAGAGTAAGAATCTGGGAAAGCTTGAGGAGAACAAGGTAAAGACTCAGAAGAAACTGACCGTCATCAAGTCAGAGCTGAAAAACCAGGAGCTCAGAGCCAGAGATGAGATTCAACAAGCCCAGAGACTGCTGGACACTCAGTCTAGCGCCATAGCAGATCTCACTCACACTGAGAAACAGGTACAGAAGTGACGTAAGACTACATATCTGCACATACACTACCTTTCAAAAGTTTGGAGTCCGTTAGATTTTTTAATGTTTTTGAAAGAAGTCTCTTCTGCTCACCAAGGCTACATTTATTTGATCAAAAAATACAACAAATACAGTAATACTGTGAAATATTATTACAATTTAAGATAACTGTTTTCCATGTTAATATATTTTAAAATAGAATTTATTTCTGTGATACAAAGCTGTATTTTCAGCATCATCACTCTAGTCTTCAGTGTCACATGATCCTTCAGAAATCATTCCAATATGCCGATATGTATATATATATATATATATATATATATATATATATATATATATATATATATATATATATATATATATATATATATATATATATATATATATATATATATATATATATATATATATATATATATATATATATATATATATATATATATATATATATATATATATATATATATATATATATATATATATATATATATATATATATATATATATATATATATATATATATATATATATATATATATATATATATATATATATATATATATATATATATATATATATATATATATATATATATATATATATATATATATATATATATATATATATATATATATATATATATATATATATATATATATATATATATATATATATATATATATATATATACATAAACAGGAAATGGATTACCTTTATTAATAGTAACCAGTATGCTCCTACATTGCAGTTGCTGGACTTCTACACGGTGGTGTCTCAGATGTTAGGCGTTGACTGCACAGGCTGCGTCCCAAACTATGAAGTTCTCAGAAGGCTGGAGGTTCTGCTCCAGTCACGTCACTGTCACTGTCCTGCTCATCTTCACCAGCATCACACGCCTCAGATCTGGGAATCTCCAGTTTCCTCCATAAACATCGCTCATTCTCATGAGTTTAAAGCCCAGGCTCTGCCAGCTCCCTCCAGCACAACCTCTGACAGCCCAGCGGCCCACGGAGATAATATAATAGCATCGAATGATAGTTTGAAGTGACTGTAAGGTTTTGTTTGTTTTTTGTTAACCTTGAAATACAAGTTTAAAAATCATTCTGATCGTACGCTGACTTCTGATAAGGCGAATGGCCTTGTTTCTTTCCCGCGTGCTCCCTCAAAACGTCAAAAATATACAGTTGTTTTAATGTTCAACCCATTCCCAGTTGAACAGACAATATTTTGTGGTTTGGATGCTGGTTTCCCCACCAGGCTTCTTAACTAGCTTAACCAGCACCATATCATCCCTTACCAAAAAGTAGTATACTTCAAGTTAATTTTATTAAGTATACTTAAGTAAAGTTCGGTAAAGAACTAGTTTAGTAGTTTTATACTACAAGTATTTCGACATTACATCAACTTTACACAGTTTTGATGCTGTTTTATGTCTGATGATCGTGTTAGATTACATGTGGAAGCATCTGTTATTTCGGTTTCTTCTTCACTTGTGTTTTTTGGAAATTCTGTACAGAAGATGTGTACAAGCGCCCCATACAGTATAACAATGAGAACGCGGATTCTAGGAAGTAAAGTATAGCTCAAATATATTTAGACTTTTTCTAAGTAGGCTATAAGTCAAGTATACTTAAATGTCATTTTAAGTATATTTCTGAGAAGTACATAAAGCCCATTTCTGAGAAGAACATAAAAAGTAGACTAAAAGTATACTTCCCTATTTTTTAGTTTAAAAGAAGTAGACTAATAGCACACTTGAATAAACTTCTTTTTCGTAAGGGATTGGTCAAACAGCAAAAAGTATTTCCTGTGTAAACCAGGATTTAGCTGCTTTCTGTAACTAAGATTCTGTAGATGCATCATTCTGGGAACAAAAAGCACCTTCTACTATTGATAGTAATTCAAAAGTAACCATGTAAAATAATCAAATTTAAAAATGCATGCAACAAATTTAAAAATGGCAAGTATTTCATTAACTATTAGTAGATATTTAGCATGTTTGTTGTGATGAACGAGACTCCTCCCAGTTTAAACTGGGTTAATGGAATTATTACCCAGCTAAAAAAAACATGTTCTAAGGACGTTTTGCTTGAATGTTGCCATTAAGTTATAGAAATGTTGTTTCTGAATTTTCTAAGAACATTCAAAACATCTAGTTAAATTTGACCATTAGTGAAAACATTAAGAACGTTCCATTTCATAATTTTTCAAACATGGGAAGTTACTTCTGAATGTTCTCTGTAGAAAAACAATGCATAAAAACATTTTCAGAATGTTATTAAAGACCAGATCATTTTAAATGAACATAACCGAGAGAGAACATAGCCAAGTTCTGAGAGGGTTCCCTGTAAATATTACCAGCAAATCATTTCAGTGTTTAAGCAGTGAATGCGTCAAAAAAACTGGTAAGAAAATAATTATGATTCACAATTAAACCAATTATGGTCATTTAGTCTTTAATTGTAGTGAAAAATACTAATCAGCAGGTTATGTGTTTATCATAGGTGTATTTTCATTGCGAAGGGTTTTTAGGCCTCAGCAAACTGTACATACATAAATATCCTTTTCTTTGATATCAGTGGTTTACATACAGTAAAGTATATTCATGACACAGTTAACTTGAATATTACAGCAGGTTAGATAAGATCAAAAATTAAAAATATACAATGACAAATCCAATTAAATCAATGATCGTTTTAAAGGATGACCACATGCCAAAAATACATATTAAAAATAATTGCAATATAGAGTTCATAAATGGTTTTATCTTCTCTGTTTTACAAGTTATTCATTTGATACAAGCAATCCAACACCTTTCAGTTTCTTTCCCAATAAACCTGATCTGTCCATGATTAAAAAAGGCCTATAGACCTGATTAACTCTCAGTGTTGAGTTAATATCCTACGCTCTAGTTTCCTCCTTCCTATCAAACATGGAAGAACATCAGTAGCACTAACAACAGCAGTTTTCAGTGCAACAGGCTTCGTTCTAACATCTACACGAGACTCAGTGACATACTGTAGAATTAGCAGCTCTATTTGCTGTACAAGGACACAATAATGGCTGCCAAATTTAGAGGGAAACCCGATGCTGAGCTGCCGTTTTGACTTCAAAGTGAAGCTCATATAGGCGGAGGCCCGTTGATGTAGCTGAGCATTGGGTGGAAGGAGCGGGCGAAGTTGTTGAGTTGGGCACAGCTGTAGTCGTCCTCAGACGTAGGCACAAGACAGGCCACCACCACCACCAGCAGCAGGATGATCTGCAGGGGCAGCGCGGCCCAGAGGACACGCTTCAGGAAGGTTTTGCACCAGGATGGAGGTTCTTCCTCGTCAGAATGGGAGGAACCGGATCCAGCGGCGTTGCGAGACCTGCTACACATGAGACGGCATAAAGAGGTGGAAACATTCAGATGCGCAACTAGGTGAATGAAAGAAATTACACGGGTTATCTAGCTATTTCTAAAACTGTAGCTAAGGAAATGGGTTTTGTAGATTCACAAAAGACTTCTAGAGTTTCTCTCTACACTTTTAAAATGAAAGGTTCACTGGATACTGGGCATTGATGGTTCCATGAAGAAAGGTTCCGTATTGTTGAAAAAGATTCTTTGTGGAACCAAAAATGGTTCTTCTATTGCATTGCTATGGGAATCCCATTTTGGAATCTTTATTTTTAAGAGTGTAAATAGGCATTCATGTTTATTGGATGGAATGATTTCTCTATGCATATTTCTTGTACATATTTATCTCTGTCTAACTCTGTCATATGAGATTTGGGAACACATTAGCTGCCAAAGCTTGACACAGATAGCGTTAGTTTAAAGTCTTCAGTAGCATTTTTTGCACTTCAGTTTTTGTTTTTCATAAACATGCCTTTTTTGTTAAAGCGCTGTTAAACAGAGAGCATGCTAAGAGGAAAAAGTGCAGCTTAACAGTTTTCAGTTTAAGGCAAATGAGTTTTGGCACTGGGGGTGCTGTTGCCTAATGGTTAAAAGTATGCTGGAAAAACTCAAATGCTGTATGTTCGAACCCAACAAGATGCAGTTCATTAACGATCACCATTGTGCTCTTAAGAAAGATACTTACACCTTGGTTACACCAGACAAACTGACTGGAATAATAAGTCTACTTCACTACACTGCTTCAGACACAAATGACGACATCCTAATGATTTAATCTGGCTTCCTTGAATCAATAATCAGTAGAAAGTGACACATACAGTCATTAGTTACTCATGTTTACTGCAGTTTAATACTGTATAGATCTTCTTCTAAGAAAAATCTCCAAAATATAAAACAATATTATTTCGCCCTCCATCATTCTGTGCATCTCTCTTTTTTGCATCCTTCTCTTTTTCTTGTCTATATTATTTTGAATATTGTACTGAGTTGAATATTTATCCATGTTATATAAATAATTCTTCTGCAGTGATCTTAAAATAATTATTTTAACAATTATTTTGTAATAAAAATCTTAAAGGGATAGTTCACCTCAAAATGAAAATTCTGACATCATTTACTCACCCTCATGTCATATACTAAAATATAGCAAATTAATCAACCTATAATAAAAAAAACATTTTATAATAACAATGTTTAATTCTATTGTGAATATGCATCTTTAAAGGGGACATAGCAGGATTACATCTAATATTAATGGGACAACAGACTTGTAATAAACAATCTTAATTACAAACAATTTTTTCAAAATAAAAAAAAATTAATTATCTTGTATTAAAAAAATATATATTATTAAACAATTATTTTATAATAAATAAACTTCTTGTAATTTCACCATGACCCACTACAAAACAACTATTTGTGAAATATATATATATATATATATATATATATATATATATATATATATATATATATATATATTTATTAAGCTTAACAATTATCTTATATAAAAAAATAAATATTATTTCGCTTAATTATTTTATATAAAAAAAAAATCTTGGAATATCACTATGATCCACTACAAAAAAATTTATGAATAACCATCTTTAATGCTGACATATCATGGTAAACCAGATTTTGTAGAGTCCTGACATTGAGTGTTTCTCTAGAATGTCATCAAACTGCACGGATGGCAGATTGGAGGAGGGAGAAGACGATTGATTAGTCGGTGAAAGAGCAGATGTGACACACCAGAGAGAGAAAAAGAGAAACTGTTGCCAAGATTGTTCATTGCAGACGCTTGCTGAATAGACAAGAAAAATGAACAGCTCAGCAGCAAGCAGCCTAGCACATCCATATTTACAGCCAAAAAAAATATAGAAAACAAGCACGTTTTTGGTCTCGTGCATGAGCTCCTCCCTTAGTAGTGTCTATCTCAGCTCCCTAACCTGAGCAGTGTCTAGAATCACAGAAGATGATGGAAGTCATCAGCATGAGCCTGTAGGTTGCTAATATTTCTGCATGCATGACATGCTTCATCTCTGGGCCACTGCAAGCACTGTGCAACCACTGCACTGTCCACTTAGGGGTCAACCCAGAGCCTTTAGTGCTAGGGGTCTACGCTCAGGTCATGGGTTGAGTTCCATTATCTTCCAAGTGTTCTAGAAACCAGGAGAAAGGTACCTGTGAAGTGGACTGCTCACACAGGCTCCGGGCTGTGACAGACTACTTTTGCCCCATGGCTGTTTGCAATGAACAGGGGGGTAAAAGAAAGAAAGAATGTTTCAGTCCAGGCAAATAAAGACAAAGCTACTGATGAAAGAACCACCAAAAAAGAGAAAAAAAGAACCAACTAAATCAAATGAGGGGGTGACAGCACCTCTATGGAGACAAAGAAACTGGTTCTTCATGACACACTTCTCAGAAAAAAACACCTTGCAACAAGGGATCCTTTAATATTTAAAAGCTTTTAAAGGGCTCAGAGCAAGGTTTAAGCTCATTTCAGACATTTCTTCTGTTTTCTGAGAGTGAATCTCAAAATCTAACAAGAACATGTAATAGGTCATATTTTACCCAGGACGTTGATTATTACATAAAGGCCATAATACAGGAAAATCTTATTATATGTGCATTATAATGAAAAAAAGTAGCATGAGCTTTAAAATTAATTAATGTAATATATATATATATATATATATATATATATATATATTATTAAATATTACAAACAAAAATTAAGTAGAATGACAAGCTTAAAAATGATCATTTGAATTATACTAATTAAAAAATATACATCACAGTGATTGTTGATTAATGCATTATTGTGTTATTGTAATGAGAATCTGATGAGAATTCTTAAAAATATATAAAAACAAAATTACAACTTTGAAATAAAATAAAATATCTGGATGCATTATGGTAATAATTTGAGAGGAAAATGTGCTTTAATGTCATTATAATGTTTAAAATCATTATAAAAAAAGGCTTAATTTTCTACATACTAAATATAATTTCACATTTTATTATTTTAATTTTGAGGTTAAATATGACCTGGACATGTTTTTTTTTTTTTTTTTTTTCATAGAACCAGTATTCCTTGATGACTACAGTGTGGGAATCTAGAATAAACATGAATATGGGAAAATGAGTGGAGGAACAAACCAAGCCAGAATTTAGGGGTGTGATACGGGTGTGACTAGTTGTTTAAAGGATGTAAAACGCACTTGGATCAATCAATAGGATGTAGAAACACAACAGGGACGAATCACATCTCCAGTTCTGATCTGGCTCTTGCATTAGAGGAGAGCATGCTGGGAAGGTCCTGACTTTTGGAGGAACTCTGAGCAAGTATACTAATAAGGTGTCAAGTGTGTTTTTGGAGGCCAAGTTCCAGGGACATTCAAGTGTCAAACTATCGGCTCATCGTGACAAGCAAACACTGATCTCTGAAGGGCCCAACAGAACGTGAGGGTGATGTGTTACCGATCGCTGGCGACTGGGAGTGCTGCGTCCAGACACGGGGCTCAGGGAACCGGAAGTGTCCAACTCATCAGCAGACGACCAAGATGACAAGTCCTACAGAGATTGTGTGTGATGAGGAGGGTTGGAGAACGAGAGTGTGACAAAACATAAAATAAGACAACAAACCGGGATTAAGTTTAGGACTGCACATCAGGGTTATTATAGATAACTAAAACTTAAACTAAAACCATAAAAAAAACATGTGTGAACATGATGTTACTGTAGTTCCAGACTAAATGTGAATGTGCATTAATTCATCCCACTCGCAAAAAACAGACTTCGTATTCATCAAAATGAATTAAAACAGTGAAATGCAAACTCAGAATATGACGCAAACCTGCAATAATTAAATATGTTAAATAACACAAATGTATCTAATCCCATTTTATTAACCAGTATCTTTGCTGCTGACCTTTGATGATCCAGTTCAACCATACTAATAAGCAAAAATGACTTTAGAGAAACTAACAATTGTGCTTTGTTTTTTTATTGCTGAAGAGTGTTTCTTCTCCTGCGTTCTACTGTACAGACGTGATTTTACTTTTGCTTCAGCCTGAGGTTTATTCATTACACTTTTTGGTGTGAACGTGCTTTTACATTTGCTATAAATAGAACTTCTTATATTAAAAACAATCAAGCCTTGCTCATATTTAAAAAGTAACGTGAAAGTAACGCAAAAGTAATGTAACACAATATTGTAATGCATTACTTTTAAAAGTAACTTTCCCCAACACTGACAACAACATTAATAAAACTTCAACTAAAATAAAATGTAAACAGAAAATATCAAATAAAAACTATAAATAAAAACGAAAAAAGAGTGTCGCAATGATTCTAAAATAACACTGCTGCACATCAAATACTCATTTAGAAAAGTGTTTTTTAACCTTTTTGACTTAAAGGCTTCTATCACAATATTTGAATGATGTAATATATAATATAATATCAGAAGAACTATAATATGTAATCACAATTCATTTCAAGCTTAAAGAATGGTATTTTCTACAATAAAAGCCAAATAAATTTAGGGGAAATAAGAATGTTTATATTTTTTGATCCCATTTTTTTAAAATTAAGTTTGTTTTAATATATTAATAATAATAATAATAACAATATTATTTATATCAATAATGATAAATGACATTTTTTTTTAAGTCATCCTGTGGCCTATCCTCCCACTGATTTAGAAATGTTTCATTTAATTCATTCATTTCCAGGCACTAATACTATTTTAGTAAACTCTGGGCATCAGTGTTTTGGTGACACTGTTGGTGATCAGCAACTCACCTGCTGACTGCTGCTGATGTCCAGGGTCTTCTGCAGCTCTCTGATGTCTCTCGTCACCTCCTTCAGCAACAGCTTGAGACGGTTCCCGATCACATGCACCTTCTCTTTGGCTTCCAGACAGTCACTGCCCTCCGAGTGGACCAGCAGCTGAAGAGACATGTCCTGCAGGGACGCCACCTTCAACTGCGTGTCCAGCAACTCCCGGCGGATTTGCTGCGGAACAATCAATATTTAATCAACATTAGCCATGCAAGTTGTAACCCTAATGCTGTACAAACAGAAAAGAGAAATCAGTTACCAGAAGTGTTTTGTGATGCTCCTGTAGGGTATCGCTGTCCTGAGTGTGGTCAATCGGGACGATCTCATTCCTCCTGCGATCGATGTTCTCCAGCCACAGAAGGAGACCGTGACTCATCTCATGGAAGTCCTGAAGATAAGGAAAAGATCTGAGATTTTAACTCTTAAACATTCATGAAAGCAGAATTTATGAATGTGTATCTTCTGATAGCAGCTTCAGTATCAGTTGTTGGTAAGGTGTTTCTTGCCTGGCACTGCATGAGCACGTGCTGGAGCGCGTTCCTCCACTCGTCCAGAGAGCTGCTGAGACGCTCCCAGCGGTTATTCATCTCCTTCAGCCGTCGCTGCAAGTCTCGCGCCTCCTCGCTGTCCGACTGCACAAACTCAGCGCTGCAGAGGTTAATGGACAGCACGATGGCCTTACGCTTATCCAGAGCCTTCTGCAGCTCCTGCGTGGAGTCACAGGTCAACAGAGAAAAGCGTCAATGCCAAAATACAATAATAAAAGAGCTGGAAAACCAATTAACACTAAAACAAAGAAAACGCTAACCCTTACAAACGATAACAGTGCTTCAAAGAATATCATGGCATTAGTGTTATTTTAGTATTATTTATATACTATATAAATTTTATTTACATTTTATTTTTATATTTTCAAGTTTCGTTTTTTTATTATTATTTTAAGTTTAATCTAATACTTATATTTAATTTCAGCTTTATTTCAATGACTGAAAATTAGTTTTAGTAGTTTTAGACAGTTTTGTAAGAAAACGCTAACCCTTACAAACAATAGCAGCGGTTCAAAGAATAACATTGCATTACTGTTAGTACTATTTACATACGATTACAGTATTTATTTATTAACATTTTTAATTAGCTTCTATTTTATATTTTCAGTTTTCATTTTAGGTTTTAGTAATCTTATGTGTTTGTGCAATTATTATTAGTTTATATACAGTGGTGTGAAAAAGTGTTGGCATATATATATTTCTACATAGCTTTAATTAATATTTATTTCTATTTAGTTTTAGTAAGTTTAGTACTTCAGCTTATTCAATTTAGTCAGATGCCAACGTAAAAGTCTTTTAATTTTAGGTTTTTCATGTAATATTTTCATGTAAATTATTGACAATTATTTTTAATAGTTTTAGTTTAATTTAAGTTTCTTAAGTTTATGTTGGATAACCAACAAACAAGAAAACAGAAGATTTTATTTAAGTTTGTTATTTCATTGTTTTTTTTAATTATATAATATATATAATTACAATTTAATATTTCTAAACAATTTTTTTCAGTTTTATTTTGAGTAATTCTAGTTTAAGTAATTTAATTTGAATTAAGTTAATTTTAATTTCAACTTAATTTTTCATTTTATATTTTATTTTATTTCAGCTTTATTTCAGCAATTACCGTTACCGTTTTAAAATAATAGTTGTAGTTATCAATAACAGCGCTGGCGTGTCTGACCTTGAGTTTCTTGATGCGTAGCTCGATGGTCTGTATGTCCGTGCTGAGGTCCAGTCCCCGCTGCTGCTCCAGCTCTTCTTCTGCCTGGTCCAGCCAACTGCAGATGCTGTTCAGGTCTGAGTTGAACTGCTGCCACTGCTGCATGTTCTGCTTCATGCGCATCTCTTTACTGAGAGCCTGAGCCTGCAGCAGCTCCCAGCGCTCGATCACACCTGCGTAACACAGATGACAAGCTCTTCATGAGGTTACCCTGTATAGTAACTTCAGTTAATAAAAATAACAAACATTATAACATCAAATCATCAGACAAAAGGAAATCAAAATTCTTAATAAATATTCCTATATTATTCAATGCATGCTAATCTAAAGAAAAGTGTTTTTCTTATACAAAATATAACTTGATAATAAGTATATGATATGGTTTTATACCTGAAGTTTGGGACTCTGAGCTGTTGGGGTTGACGAAACCTGATACCTTGTCGTCCTCTTCTTTCAGCTCAAATCCCACTCGCTTTACTGCATCTATACTGCCACGACATTCTTCAAGAAGACGCATCTGGGAGAATTTAATATAGCAAACAAGTGTTTAAATTCATTTAGCAAATGCTTTCTTATTCAAACCACATTTTCACTACAGCGACAATTCCCTAATATAGTCCTGTAGGACTTTCACTCACATAACCCATGTAGGTGGCGTCCAGCTCAGGGCCGGTGGGAGTCCGGCTGCGTATGATGTTCTCTGTCTGCTGCAGATGAAAGCAGCTGGTGTTGAGAGCTTTATCCAGTTGTCTGATGTGAGTCTCCAGTGATCCAGCATCACCTGTGGAGGAACATCAGAACAGTAATTAATGGAGGAACAACAGGAAGTTGCTCTGAACTGCGTTTGGAACAGCACAGTGGAGCCGTGTTCTCTTTCTCAGGCCTGATGCAGTGCATGATCAAGAGATGCCTTTCTCATTAGTCAAACACACTAGGTGCTTCTAATCAAATGTCATTAGTCAAAGCAGTTTATAATCAGAGTTGCAATTGTAAAAATGTTTGTTCGCTTTTATTTATCCAGGCAATTCAATTAGGAATTATTTTCTAACTTGCAAGACAATTTGGCATAGTATAATGGCTGATATTTGGCATTTTAAGATTGTCACTTGTGTTAGTTCTGAAATCAGATTTTTTTTTTTTTTTTTTTTACATATTTTAATGCCAGTTAAACACATTTTCCCAAAGAATCATCATTAGTTTAACAGAATATTTCCATTTTCATTACTGTGATGCAAAAAACATTATTTAAATAGTGTGTTTTTAAACATACACAAAATGCTAATTTAAACCAGTGTTGGTATTGTTATCTAAAACTATCAAAAAAAAATGTTGTTAATAAAAATATTGAAATAAAATAAAATAGTAATATTAGATGAAAAGCTTAAACTTAAAAAACTTTTAAAAATCTAAAACATGTTGCATTGACAACTAACTGAAATAAGTTGAAAGTATTAAAATTACAAAAATAATAAAATGACAAAAACACATAAAATGACTACAGCTTAAATTATTAGAATGAAAACTGATAATAAAAAAGATTCTAGTTCAGAATATTAATAAATACTATAATACTAATAGTATAAATAATAATAAAATAACAGATAAAATCCTTATATTACTAGATCTTTTACTGTAATACAGCAAAAAAACAAAACAAAAAAAAAACCCTGTACTACAGCAACGTGAATCTAATCATAAAAAATATTCATATGTTTAACAGTAATGAGAATTTTGGGGAAGAAATGCTCTATAATTTAAAAATGCAAAACATTTAAATTGGTCCAAAAATAGGCTTCATTTTCGTCATGTAAAATATGTTGGTATAATATGTATAATTTGATCTTGATATGTGAAATTCTCCCTTTAGACCCTTGTTACCTCTAGATATTGGCACAGTTAAAAAAAAATTGTTGACCACTAGTATTTCATTGTTGAACCACTTGATTTAAAAGGATTTGATTTTTTGTAATGTAATGATATATTTACAATTTTCTCTGATTGCAAAATACTGTGAGTAATGCTGTTGATTTGGCAAATCCAAAAGCATTAGAAACCAAGAACAAACACCAGAGTGAACTCAGTGGCCATCAACCTGTGACACTACATGCAAACACTGGAGAACTGATTATTATAGTTAACACACTGTGTGAAGCAACACAAATCAAAAGAGAAGGGTTAGGAAATACAGCCGATGGTCGCAGCACGCGGCTCTGTGCTTTGATTCGGTTTGTGAGTAGAAACTAAAGATCACTATCTCAGGCAACAGACTAGTGAGTGAGTCTCAGATTTCAGACCGCTGATGCCTACCAGCGCTGGACCTCAGAGTATGCTCAGTAAGTTTGAGATATGCCTCAGGACTCTCTGGAATCACTACATCTGAAAGAAACATATACACGCATACAATACAAACATGTTTGAATGTGGAACCACACTAAACCACCAGTTTCAGGCCTTCATTGGTTTCATTTATACCCCCTTATTCTCTCTCATTTGTTTATAGGACTAAAGATCCTTTACTGACCTGAAAGGGCGGACGCTGAGCTCTGCAGGTATCCATCTTCTCCCTGATCTCCTGGTTCAGAGGACAAGGCTCTGCTGGTGCTCTCCAGACCCCGGCTCAGGTCGTAATCGTGGTCCCACTCCAGAGGGATGGAGTCCACGCTGGCTGGAGTGTCTCGGCCCGAGCGTTCGGCCCGTAGAGGAACGGCCAGCGACGCAGAGCGACTGGAGGAGGGCAGAGGGGACAGAAAACCATCGCCCAGACGCTCACTCCACGGAAAGCTGGACACGTCAGCAGGCTCGTCCAGATCAAACTCACGGTCCGAGTACGAGACGTCATGTTCGTCGTCTGTGAGCTGGACAAAGAAGTTACGAATTCTCAGTGGTTTTTGGGATCGAAACCTTGACTAAATTAATTAAAGTGGATGAAATAAAATGGCAAAAAAAAGGCTAAACAAAATATATGCATATAAAATGACTGACAATGAATGAATGAATGAATAAAAAGTAAACAAATAAAAAAATGGTACATATAAATATGAAAATAAAATGAAATGAATGAATGAATGAAGTAAACATAAATAAAATGTAAATGTAAATAAAAATGGTATATATAAATATTAAAATAAAATAAAAAATAAAGAGAATGAAGGAATGAATAAAGAAAGAGAAAGAAAGAAAGAAAGAGAGAAAGAAAGTAAACATAAATAAAAGGTAAATATAAATACAAATAGTATATATTAATAAATATTAAAATAAAATAATGAATGAATGAATGAATTAATAAATAAATAATGTAAACATACACAAAGGTAAATATAAATAAAAAGATACATATAAACAAATATGAAAAAATAAAATAACTATGTGTTAATGAATAATTAATAAATATATAAATAAAGGTAGTCATAAATAAAAAGGTACATATAAATAAATGAACGAACGAATAAGGTACATATAAATAAGTCTAAAAATCAAAAAATTTGAAAAAGAATGCAATAGAACTCCAGTGTCAGTCAGAAAAAGCATCTGCTGTATTTAAAGTACCGGTAATCGTATAAGTTTCTTGTAGTAGCGCTCCACACGTCCAAACACTTCCTGGCAGTAACGCTGCAGTTCTTCAAGCTCTTCCTCAATCACAGCAGCATCTATCGGCTCACTCTTTTCCAGAAGAGCTTCACCCTGCTGGAATATGTGGTCAATCTTGGCAGTGTTCAGAGTGATCTCCTGCTGGAACGCCTGGACGCAGAAGAGAACCTCCATCAGAGAATGACACAGGAGATATGGAGAACACATGCAGTGATAAAGGCCAGAGATGTACCCTCAGCTGTTTGATTTTGGCCTGGACGTCACACTCGGAGAAATGCTCAATGTTGGTTAACTGCAGGTCCATCTCTGTCAGCCAGACCAGGATACAGTCTCGTGCCGTCTCAAACTCCTCCCTCTGACTTATAAAGTGCTGCAGTGGACAGAAAAATGTTTCAAAAATCAGATTCAAAGTAAAAGCCCACTTGCATTTATCTAATTAATAATAATAAAATAATTTATACATACATATATATA